ACTCCAGAGAGAGAAGAGTTTCTTCTTTTAGGAGAATCAGAGATGATGTCTGGAAAGGACAAGTGATGATGGTTTCAGTATGAATAATCAAACAAGAACCACCCTTTTCGTGCATTGCCCACATTATTCAGTCCTCTAAAGTAGGCATCCGCTCTGTGATGTGAGGGCTTGAGGATCATGACGAGTTGGTTTTGGTTTGGGGTTAGGAATGAGCATATAGAAAGGTGTTATTTATCGGTGCAAATCAGCAGTAGCAAGACATGGGTGACGGGAAGCCAGCGGCCTCTGCTGATGCCATGGGAGACAGTTTGGTTGGAGCACTGGAAGGGTCAAAGGCAGCTACAAAAGAGCTGCAAGTGCAGGCTGTGGCGGGCAGCACTGGTACAGGAGGAGGAGACTAAATCAGGCCTGCTTCCACTTTCTCGTGAGAAGCTGGGGGGTTCTGCAGGTTCTGGGGCTCCAAACTCAGGCCCTTGTGTGTGCACCGCAAGCCACCCGAGCCATGCTCTCTTCCCGGTGACAGTAAAGGTTAGCAGGGCCTGCTTTCTATGACAGGTAAGGCTCCTCGGTGTCTTCATTTATTCCATTCTCTCCATTCTCTCAATTCCACACGGGGGTGAGCTATTCACCAGCTGGAATCTGTTTATCATTTATCTGACGCTGGAGTGGGCTTATTTATCAGTGCGATGGGTCTCCTGGGTGGACGTGACTAACCCACTCTGGGGACTGCAGCCATCACGGCCACCTGGAGCTGTAATCAATAATGAACAATTGGCGACCAGGGCCTAGTTACCTGTGCGGGAAGCAGACAGGGTTGTGGCCGCTTGCTACCTGCCCCTGTTCCACTGGAGCTTCCTTGGGTCCATCCACCCTGTATCTATGCCTGGACCGAGAGCTCTAGCTCCTGAGAACTCCCTTTTACTCCTCCAGTCCAGGGTCTATAAAAAAGGTTTGCGCAAACTACCTGAAACTTTGCTCTCCCAACAAATGGCTACATGGGCTCTTTTTACAATCGTGGGCAGCCCCTCATTTGATGCCGACTAAGGTGAAATAGCATCTGCATTTGAGGTTAAGTTAGTTCCACGTGGACAGTGAAGGACTGAAGGGACCCTGTTCTGAGACTGGTAAGACGCTGCCCAATGGGAGTTCATGCTGTCTATACACTGTCCAGTGGGAGTTCATGCTGTCTATACACTGTCCAGTGGGAGTTCATGCTGTCTATACACTGTCCAGTGGGAGTTCATGCTGTCTATACACTGCCCAATGGGAGTTCATGCTGTATATACAGATATTGTAAGACCTGGGGTCTCACAGCTCAGGAGTTCAAGATCTTGCCCTTCCCAGAAACTCTCACAGACCATGCAACTCATTGCAAAAGCAAGAGGTTTAATTTAACCATTGCGCAATGGGGCCACCCTGCGGGTCAGCAAAGAGTGGCCCCAGGAGACAAAGGCTTTAGGTTTTTCAAAGAAAAATTGTGAGAAATTTAAAGTTGCAGTTTTGGCAATTCAGGATTGGATGAGGAAGCTATAAAGTAAGATAATTGGTTAGTCTTAGGTGCTCAAGCTTGGCCAGTCCTGCCAAGTGTGGATGCAGCTGCAATTGAAGGTGGGGTGGTTAGCTCATCCTTGAAGATTTGGCTGGAGGTCAGGAGCTACTCAGAAGAAGGATTGAGGCCATCTGGGTTCATTGCTAAGAAACACTATCTCGAAGACAAGGGTCTGGTCGTTCTTTTTGCTGAGTGAAGGTCATTGCTTGCTCGCTTTTTTTTATATCTGTCCTCACAGATAGGGCCACATTCCTCCATTCTCTGGAAAGGTACTAAGAGGCTTTAGCTTAACCTGGACCTAAAACTCAAAGCTATAGGCTTTAGAAGATATATAGGTTCCAAAGTTAGCCTAACCCTTTCAATATAAGGTGCTGTCCAGTGGGAGTTCATGCTGTATATACAGATATAAGGTGCTGTCCAGTGGGAGTTCATACTGTATAACACTGT